AGAGTAAAACCTCTTCATCTTTGTTACCAGATCATCATTAGAAAAAGTGACATACTCCACAAACTTCCTGTTCAGGAGAAACCAGTCTGACCCTCCGTCGACTGCGATTCCTTCTGGGATCCTCCGGTCCCCAAGGCGCCACATGTGGGTATCGCATTCCAGGAAAAGCCGATCTAGTCCTTGTTTTCTGATAAATCTGAGGGAATACAAAAGCAGTCATTAAAAGTTAATTTGTATTTTGTTATCATCACTATCTCTATAAATAAAGAAGCTATTTTCTCAAACAAAAAAGGATAAAAAGGTCACTTGTTTATATTTCTGTTCTACTCATAAATAATGTAGAGGTTTAAAAAAGGATTAATCAAGTTATATGTTCAGTTATAGGGGCAAAGATCAACAGATTGTTTTTAAACATCATTTACGCCTTCTGCTGTCCTAAGACAGAACTGTGCAAGTTACAGAGCTGTAGGGCATGAAAATCCGCCATGTTCATTAACTCTTAACAAACCGCTGCAGAAGAACCATAACATGAACAGGAACTAAACACAGTCTGTGTGATAGGCTTCTGTCTCTAAATAAATGCACAGTTTCTGAAAAACAGCAAACCATACATAAAGGTAAAATGACCAATTTTCTCCTATGTTATTATTCCACAAATTTTTCTATTGGGGTATAGTTAATCAGGAAGAAATACAATTGCATTGCTCTTTGCTGTAGAGTGAATATGTTTGCTCCATTTTCAAATCTATGGGGAACAATGTTTTGTTATTGCTGAACCATGAATAAGAGGAGCAACAGCAGAACTGTGTACGGAAACGAATTATTTGAGACCAATATAAGAAGAAAAAAAGAGTTGCAAAACCAATCTATGTTTGAAAACACTTTGGACTGGATGCCCACACATTTTTTGAGACTGTCTGATCCAGGTTTCTATTTGTTATTCCATTTTCAGAATTATTTCCCGGAAAGGGAAGCAGGGTGGCCATGAATTAGCACGTACCTTTGCAAGGGGAGCTGAGTGCTGCTAATAACAGCGAGTTGCTGTGTTGAATACATCCCACATGTTCTGAGCAATAATAAATGCTAGCTAACCAGACCACTATAGTAACTAACATCCACAAGACCACAGATCTCACGGGATGCAAGAACTGCAGGCTAACAAGATCTGCAGCACCTCCAGTGAGGAGGACACTCTAAGACCTGTGTTCCCCTCCTGAACAACATAAAGCTACACCAGGTTTCTTAGAAATGTTTTAGGATTAGGAAGTCAAGAAGACATTTTAGTGGTCCTCAAACACATGCAACCGAAGGAAGGGGAAAAGAAATAAAAGTTAAGGAACACCACCAAAGCTTTCTGGACTCCTGCATCTGGAAATGTGAGTGTTAACTCCGTAGGCTAACTCCCTGGTTAAAGTTTTGTTCTATACCAATCAAAGAACTGAAATGCAATTATGAAATGGTGCATATTAATTTTCAAAAGGACCGTAAATTCCTTCAGGGTCTATGTCCTACTGATAGCTACATCTCCTCTCACAGTATGCGAAGAGCTCCTCTGTTAATACAACAGTGCAGAAAATGTGTAGATGAGAGTGGAGAAATTTTTCTTTCCATGAACAAGTTTCTAATTTCATGTTCCATTATGAAGGATAATAGAAAAGTCTTGCAATTTTAATGCAGTGCTCTGGAATGTAATCTTCAAATTCAATATTTATGCAGTTATCTCCAAATCAAATATTAATGTGCCTGAAAGTTTGGTCATTTATTTATTTCCCTCAAAACTAAATGCTCGTTTGAGTTAATTATTTTAAGAAAATAATAGAATTTTATCGACCGTATTTAAATAGGAACGTAAAGTTCTTTTCCATGAAATCATTTCTTTCAACTGCTATCTCTACCAATTTATCACCCTTCATTCTCGTTTTCAAATAGAAGTTTCTTTGACTGCAACAGAAACCCCCAAACAAAAAAAACCCACCTGGCCATTTAAAAAACCCCTCTACTACCAAACTCCCTTACCCTATATTACATGATAGGGCTTACAGTTAACTAGTACCAGAAAGCTCAGTTATACAACTTCAGCCTTATTGTCTGAAATTGGCAATAGAAGAGTATGGCCACATTCAAGATGAGAAGGTCCTAGCAAATCTAGGCTCACAGCTTCACATTTTCCAAAATAGTTGACGGGCTCCTTTTTTGTATATGTACAGAGTTCTATGACTTTTTGAGCTAATGGCTTGGACAAGCGAATCTCGGCATATGGAGTGAAATAAGACAATTCTTGGGAGCACGAGTGTTTTCACAACAAATCTCAGTCCTAAAATCCTATACAACAAGGTTAGAAGAAGAAAACTAAAGGTACTTTCCAACTATTCATCCTCCAGCAAGGCAGCCTAGCCCAACTGAAGAGCAGCATCACCTTTGGAGACCTGCAAAGAGATGACCCTTTCGCTACTGTGTCTTGAAACCTTCCTAGAAATATAATCTCAGGTTTTAAATACAGTAACAACCGAATAGGAAGCAGGCATTTCTCAGAAGGCTCACCCTTACTGGGCCTAAATAGAGTAATGCATTGGCATAGCAAACAATTTCCTTTCATCTATGAAGCAATAACTCATACAAGGGGCTTTAAAGACCCAGCTCTCCTTCGGGCAATTGCTTGTTACCCATTTATGTTCCTTGGGAGCCAAGGGGACCAAGTGTATTGTAGATCTGCTAGAAGCTAAATGATCCTGCCTGAGGAGGCAGTGGGGACCCTGGCAAGGCTAGGCTGTACCGCTGACACGCAGAGAGCTGAACTGCAACCAAAGTAGAAAAGGTGGATGAGGCTTTTTTTTTCCCCTCCAGACTCTCTTCTGATGCTCCTAGCTACTCCAGCAACAGCAATTTTGGCACGCAGGGAGGCAAGAACTTACTCTAAGCATATTGGATACTGCCTGAGGGAAAGGGAAAGGTACTATATCTATGCCACGTAGGCATTTTCAAGAAATCAAAACCCCTCAAACACTACAAACAGTTCATAAAGATTCTTGACTAGCCATCCAACAATGCTTGCAGCAGCCATCTCTGAGAAGAAAGATAAGACAACGGAGGGTAAAAGCATGACCCTACTGATTTGTTTCTAGTCTAATGCTGTACTTCATTAGTTTCTGGTTATGCTCAATGCAATACCAAAACAGTGCCTTTTATGAAGGCATGCCAAGCTTCAGAGAGAACAAGGAAATGCAAAAAATGGTGATTTTTCCTCAAGTCCTTCTCTCTTGGGTTTTACAGGACATCTAGCAGATAACTCCCAAATTGAAGTGGAAAAATGGGTTAGTAATAGCATTGCATTAATCTTAGTCAACGTGGAAAAATTCAGGTGCTTCCTGGCACCCTGAACTTCAGGTAAGACTGGCACACCTCTGACAACTGCAAATGTACTTGCCAGGACAATGACATACAATTGCACCAAGGTATGGTTAGCCAAATACAATGGAGACTGCCATCAGATGAACGCACTTGACCTTTCTCCTGATCTAAGACAAACAGCAGGAGGAAAATAACAATGATAAGAAATAGCATTGCATTAATCTTAGTCAATGTGGAAAAATTCAGGTGCTTCCTGGCACTCTGAACTTCAGGTAAGACTGGCACACCTCTGACAACTGCAAATGTACTTGCCAGAACAATGACATGCAACTGCACCAAGGTATGGTTAGCCAAATACAATGGAGATTGCCATCAGATGAACACACTTGACCTTTCTCCTGATCTAAGACAAACAACAGGAGGAAAACAATGATGATAAGAAAAGAGAGTCAACCAGGAGAAAATAAAATTAAAGTAAGACTAGAGTTAAGGAAAAGCATGCCATTTTACCTTATTTCATAGAACACTCCATCTAAGCCATTTTATGCTTACCCTTAATCAATTTTAACTCTTCTTAAAGAGCCTCCAATTTTGAGGAGCCTGGATTACACTTGAAAGTAAGCAGCAAGCATAGCATAATATGAGTGCACCTTGCCAGCTGAGCTCAGCAATCAGGCAACTACGTGCGTGAAAGGTGCCATTTGTGCCCTGACTATGCGTGGATGCAGCCTTGGGGTTCACACAGTTCCAGATGGTTATTTTTATACTTTGTTAAAAAAACCTACTATCTGCAGCACATGGTCTATCACACTGAGTATAGATAGTTAACTGTCCAGACAGCTCATGATTGCAATCTAGCTTAGGGAACTCCTCTTACTTTGTAGTGTATTTAAATATTTATAAATGCATTTCAGATGAGACTTTAGCATTGTATAACACATAAGGCATTTGTAAGATGTTTAGCGCACGCTCCTACAACATGAATATAAACACATAGCTCAGCTCTTCTTATGATATGTTTTAACTACTAATAAACATTGCTGCACAGTTACTTAACATCAGAAAAAATATCACAATCAAATATCACCCTTTTGGATAGTTTTCTCCAAGTGACACTGCATACCACAGCAACTCTGAGAGACCCCCGCTCCTGAATGCTCACACTTATGCAGTATATAAGACAGAGAGTTTGCTGTTTTCCATTTTCTGAAGTCTACAAATGAATAGAACTTTCTTAAGCATCAGAGGCTATCAGATTGCTAAATGCTACTTAACAGCAACCTCATCACTAAAAGGTTTTTGTCTGGAAAGAATGTTTTTTTTAAGGCAAAAAGATTTCTTCCTAAATGTTTCCTGTTTCTGGCCTCTTGCCTAGAAAACCTCCTATTGACATTTCACTGTTAACCAGGTGCACCTACCAGGACCTCATCATCATTACTCACTATACAAGAATATGAACTATGAATAAAAGTTAACAATACATCAGCAAAACAATTCATCACAAGTTGAAAGTCAATGTCAAAGCAAGGATCTCCAGAGCTTGAATCTCCACTAGCACCACATCCATGTTCTCCTTAATGTAGTGGACAAACTCTGCACATTGCTTTGACTCTATCTGCTCCTCTTCTAACTCTCTTCAGACAAAAATTTTAAGAAGTCAGCCAATTTTGGTGGGAAAAGTCAAGTAAATATTTTTATGGATGGGAAATGTGAGAGGCTCTTGCCAGCAGTGTTTGCACAGCCGCCTTGGAAACACTTACCGGAGTCAATCAGTCGGGAAGCATAAAACAGTAACTTGCAATTTAGGTGACCAAGTAGAAAGCACAGAACAGTAATTTGACAATCTTG